CTTAAACCACATCTCTCATTACATTAAATGTTAATGGACTAAACACATTAAAAAGGAGGGGGGCAAGGAATAACAGAAGAGATAATCTGAGGAAAAAGCAGGACCCAACTCAGAAATGTATTTAAAATAATGCCTCAGTGGGGAGCCTGCTTTTCCCTCTCCCTCTGCCTGCTACTCCACCTGCTTGTGCTCACTCTCTCTCTGTCAAGCAAATAAATAAAATTTAAAAAATAAAATAAAATAAAATAATGTCTTCTTAACTTATATCCAGCATTTCTAGGTGTTTTCAGCAGAAAGGTTTTCAGGCCTATATTTTTTCAGAACCAGAAATCTTGATGTCTTTTTTCACTATGAGTTTACTAGAAAGGGGAAGTAGAATGATAATGGCTGATATGCACCAACTAAATTATATCCCTGGTTGATGGACAGCCTGTGACAATAAAATAAGAGGAATTTTAGAGGAAAATGATGTCCTGGGCACCTAGACCAGTTGGTGACTTCCAAAAAGGGACATCTTGTGCATTCTGTGCATGTGACCTTTAGATTTAAATTATCTTTTTTCCTCCTGTTTCTCATTTACCAAAATTTTTGCACTCCTTTCTGCCAGGCACTGTGCTATAAATTGGAAATAGAGAAAGAAATAAAACAGACATAGTCTCTGTCCTTAAGAAGCAGCCCAAATGGGTAAATAAACATTTAAAAAAATACTCAGATAACTAGGGGTGCCTGGGTGGCTCAGTGGGTTGTGTCTGCCTTCAGCTCAGGTCATGATCTCAGAGTCCTGGGATAGAGTCCCACATGGGGCTCCCCACTCGGCAGGAAGCCTGTCTCTCTTTCTCCCTCTGCCACTCCCCCTGCTTGTGCTCTTTCTCAAACACATAAATAATAAAACCTTTTAAAAAAATATAAAAAATACTCCAATTATACTTAATAATCCCTATGACAAGTGTTAAGTAAAATTATCATGAGAGTCAGGTTGCAGATTACTTCAGCAGAGATCCCACGCCCCATCCATTGGAAACACTCATTTATCTTGGAGAACCAAAAAGAAAACTCAATTGAATGGTAACAAACCTCATTTCCCACGCTTTCATCAGTTTTCTGCATTGTGCTGATTTTTTTTAACTAGAAATTTCTGTGTTTTAGAAATCAATGACTACACACCACCCTGTTCCTATCTGAATAGCTTTTTGCTACAGCATATTTTCCTCACCTGGAATCCAGGAACTATGGGCTGATTGATATGAACATTGGCCATCCTCTAGATACTTTTAATGTGTCATAAACCTATGGTACTTCTTATGAAAGAAATAAAAGTGCACATATGCATGGTCAGGGTCAAGTTCAAAAGAGAAAAACTACATAAATTATTTCAACTGAAAGAATTTAATCTAAACAATTGTTAGTCATGTATAGGGAACTTAAAAGGCAAATGTCCTGGAAGATAAGGTATCACAAAGATAGTAACCTCAGGAAGCAAGTACCAGTCTTAGAGCTGTAGAAAGACAGAAAAATGAAGACATCGGTATTATTAAAATGTAAAGTCTTGGAGAAGGAGCCCGGAGGAGCTGGTACTTAACCCTTTGAAGAAGGACACTGGTCAGGTGGTGTTATATCTCTGGGTGTACAGTAAGGGTGCTACTGGTATAATGGAAGAACTGCAAACAGAAACCAAACAGTGCAATCACTTGTCATTGTCACTGTAAAGAATCACTATTGTCAAAGCCTACAGGGGGCAGCTGGCAAAGCAAAAACTGTGGTTTGCAGCATCTGGCAACACAAAGCAGAGAACAGAATGATTGGTTTAGGGAATAAACTAGTTCATAAAGGCCACAATGTGACAGAGCTAATCAAAACTGTAGAGATACAGATAGTAAGAATTTGAGAAGCTGAGCATAGATTGACCAGCTTATTGAGGAGAAAAAAATAGGAGTTAAAAATACCTGTAGACCATTAGTCCTTCATATTAGAGCCTTTTTATTTTAACATTAGGACCATCTCAAATAGGTCAAAATGTTTAACTCCCCTCCCCTCCATTTCCCTAACAACATTGTCTAGACTTTCTCCCTATAGACATTACCCTATTTATCTGGTATTCAGACTTCCAGGAACCTCAACTCTGAAACACCTGTGAGCCCAATAAAAAACCTAAAGTAAATGCAGCAGAAGCCTGAAGCTAGTTTGAAATAGATGTCATTAAAGCCATGCACTTTATCTCTATTCAAACAGATAATATTTGAATTAATATTACACTTAATACTTATCTGGTTTCCCTTGGCAACTGTTCAGGAGTGGCTGAAAGAAAGGAAGAGGGAAAAAGTTACATCATTCTGGCAGCTTTAAGAAGTTACCATGGAGAAGGCAGATGCAACAAGAAAGAAGACAACAGTATCACCACCAAAAACAGACTAACAGTATGCAGTGTGGAAGCACTCAGCCCTACAAACCACACCATTTCAGAAGCATCAGTGAAGGAGAAGATAGCCCAGCTGTGAATCAAGACAGTGCAGCATGCTAGCAATATTCAGGAAAAAGAGTGTTTAAGTTCTACCTGCATCATCCCTCTGAGGCATGTCAATTTTTATCACAGACTAGAATAACCATGTGTCTGTTTGCTTATGACTGCATGCTTAGTGCCTAGAACAAGACAATTGTTCAGTCAGTGAATCTTGGATAATCATATTAATGCCAAATCACAAAAAAAGTGTTAAAAATTAGTACAATGTTTTTTCTAGTGACAAATGCAGAGAGGTATCAATTGCGGTTTGAAAAGTCACTATTATGATAAGCCACTACCTGAAAGCTGTAGAAAGTAGAAGCAGAGGGAGTTATTTACTTCAAGAACAAAAATGCACTGATGAAGATTACTACCCTGATTCTCAATAAGCAAAAAGTGAGAATTTCGTTCAACATTATTTATTTAAGGAAGAGTTGTATTTCTCCCTCTCAACTAATCTATTTGGCAGCTTTTGTTTTGTTGCTATTTGAACACTCTTCTGTTGGGATGCATTCAGAGGGAAAAATAGATACATAATGGACACTTACATGAGTATGTCACAAGTAAAGAGAACAGAAGAGATGGTTTAAGAAAAACTTTGAAAGCCATCTTTTATTTGGTGTAACCAGAGGATGCTAAAAACTTAGAGAATCTAAAAAGTAGTATTTGGAAATGTTATGGTTCTTTTAACCTTAAAAGGCTGTAGAGGCTTTATATTTTTACTTTTTCAGTCTAACATTAAGATTTTTAAGAGACAGTCATTTGAAGATACTAAAGAGCAGCCCAGTAGCCAGGCCACAAAAGTCAAGATCCTAGAGGAGAGGGAAACAAACTAGAATAAACTGGACATTCTCCAATTTTTCTCTCAGGGAATTTGCCATTTCCTAGCTAGGAGATAGGGGCACAGCATAAAACAGTGGTCAAAATCTTTAACAATTTCATCAGGATAGGAAGAAAAAAATTAGAGTCAAGACAAGTACAGCAGCCAGGATCTCAGAGAGAAGAGAATCACAGAGAAAAGAATATAACATTCCACAAGGATTTTGTCTCCAAGAATTTCTCTGAATCCTAAGTCCTAGGGGAATAGGGTAAGGAAGAAGAACAGTAAGGGTAAAGATAAAACAAACAAAATACCAAAACAAAGCAAACACACACACACACACACACACACACACACACACACACACCCCTCAAATTTGTTAAGGTGTTTAAAGGATATACAGAGATTAAGACAGTCATATGTAGCTAAACAGACAAAAATAGGAGTTCAGAGCCTGAAGTGGAGAAGGAATTCTGCACAATATGTCAGTTTTCAAGTAGAGATTTCTGAATGACTATATCCTAGTTTAAAGGCTATAAAGTAATATATCATCCCTTACAAAGCATTAAGCCCAGCCTCCAATCATCTCAAAGCCTGATAGGACCAATGATTAATCTGCCTCTACTTAAATGAGGGCAAGAAGAAAATTTAATCTTCTTTGGAGGAAGATAACATCATCCAATGCCTCTCAAAGTTTCATATACAATGTCCAGCATTAAATAAAAAATGTACTGGCAAAAGCAAAATAAAAATACAGTAGAAACAGATACTCAGATGAATCCTTTTTTTGAACTCTTATAAGTTAAAATTACAATATATTCAAAAATATCAAGGGAATGATGCAGAAATAGGTGAGAATATAGGGAATTTTATTAGAGACCTGAAGACATGTAAAAATAAATCAAGTAGAAATCTAGAGTTTAAAAATAAAGTTTCAGAAATAAAGTACTCAATATACAGGGTTAAAAACAAATCAGACACAACAGAAGAGATGATTAGTGAACTGGAAAATAGGTCAGAAGAAATTATACAGATTAAAGCAAATAAAAAGAAGGGAAAATGAAGAGAATTATAAAATGGACTTGTAAGGCATGGTAAAATGATCAAAATATGCCACCTCAAAGGACAGGTGAAAGAGAACAGGCAAATTGTATTTGAAAAGATACTGTCTGAGAATTTTCAAAAATTGGTGAAAGACAATAAGCCACCAATTCAAAAAGCCTGAAAAACCTCAAGTAGAACAAATATAAGGAAAATAATACTTAGACACATCTGAGTAAAATTGTTAAAAATTAAAGAAAAAGGAATAAACCTGAAAGCAGAGCAAAAGGGAGAGATGCATAATTTTAGAGGAGTAACAATAAAAACTGATAGCTGACTCCTTAAAAGAAAATATGGAAGTCAGAAGACAATGGAATAAAATTTTCAAATTTAAGGAAGAGAGTAACAGTCAACCCAGAAAATTATATCTAGTTAAAATATCTTTCAAAAGTGAATGAAGTAAAGACAATTTCAGACACACAAAAACTTGGGGGAATTTAATGCCAGTAGACCCACACCAAAAGCAACATTGTAACAGTTCCTCAGGCAAAGAAATTGATCCCTGATTTAAGCTCAGTAACATAAGGTATAGAGAAAGAAGAAAGGTTAAATGGTTTAAATGGTTAAAACTAAACGAATGTTGACTAGTTAAACAATGAAAATATCTTGTTGAGGTTAAAATATATGTTGAATTAAAATACATGGTAATGATAACAAAAATAGATGTGAGGGAGAAATAGAGTTAACCACACTGCTTTTCAAGAATAAATATAAAATAAAAGTATTGGAAATACCCAGAAATTTCAGCTCTTGAGCTATCTGTTCTACACATTTTCTCATCTCTGGGCTAAGGGAACCCAGGAGAAGGTGCCCATGGGGAAACTTTGTAGAAATGACAGAGGGAGAAGAAGTCAAACTTGAGCCAGATCTTGCTCTCAGGGAATATGCAATGGGGTGTGGTGTGTGGTTCTTCCTTTGGGCACCCTGAAAAAATCACTCATGTTCCATGAAAAGGCCAGCTTTTGGACACCTGCGAACAGAGGTCATGAAGCACCATCAATTCACATCACCAGAGAAGCAGTGACAACAGAAGACAGCAATCTCTTCCAGCATGGATCCTCCCCTCTTTACCCAGGGGAGTAGGGCCGTTGACATACACAGTTGGGGGATTATTAGGAAAAAAGGAAAAATGTTTTCATCTTGAGAATGATAATATTTTCATTATCTATTGCTATATAACAAATCACTTCAAGACAGTAGTTTTAAAATAATAATGATTAATTATTTCTCCTGACTCTAAAGGTCAACTGGACTCTTCACATAATGAGGGCACATATTGTTGCATTTAGCAGGGGCTTGGCCTGGTGCCTCAGTTCTCCTCCATGTGGTATTTCATCCTGCCAGTTCTGTTCATGTGATTTTACTTTCCAGCAGGATAGCTGTGATAAAGTTCACAGCATCACAGTGGTGAGGGAGCCCAAGATGTAAAGCATCTGGGATGCCTCTGCACACATCATACTTATAAATTTCTCATTGGCCAAAGCAAGTCACATGGCCAAGCCCAGGGTCAATGTGGGAGGGGGTTGTATAAGGACTCAAATACCAAGAAATGTGGTTAACTAAAGGCTACCAATGTCACAGTATCCCACAACAACTAACATTTTTTGAGCACTTCCCAAGTGCTAGGCACTGTATTAAGCACTTTACATATAGCAAGTCTGTTTAAACCTCCCAATAAACCCCATGAGGCAATGTTCCTTTTATAAAGAAAAGTTGAAGCCCAGAGAGTTTAAGCAATTTGCCTTAGCCATACAGCTGGTAAGTGGTGAAACCATTAAATCTGATCTCAGTGCCCCCAAGCTTAATCATTTCACTTTACCATACCAACAAGTTGAGACTCCTTAATAAACTCATTATGTTTATTGTGTATTCGTATTGTTTTCCTCCCTGCTCCTTTTTTATTTTGATGAATTGCCTGTTTTCACTATTCTCTTTACTCCTTCTGGCAATATTGAGTTTAACAAAGAACTCTCTAATAGTTTCTTTTAAGCTTTTATGAGCATCCGTATTTACATTTCTCTGTTAATACCAAATTCAACAATAAATATGTCTCTCACCTGTTCTCTGAAGAGACCCTTAGTTCATTTTTACAAGTTAAAAAAATAATAATTTCATATTAACAAGTGATAAACCTAAGTAAGAGATAATCAGGGGTATCGCTTTTCTATTTAAAGAGTCCTTGGGACACATGGGTGGTTCAGTGGGTTAAAGCCTCTGCCTTTGGCTCAGGTTATGATCCGAGGGTCCTGGGATCAAGCCCTACATCGGGCTCTCTGCTTAGCAGAGAGCCTGCTTCCTCCTCTCTCTCTCTCTCTCTGCCTGCCTCTCTGCCTACTTTTGATCTCTGTCTGTCAAATAAATAAATAAAACATCTTTAAAAAAAATGAAGAGTTCTTTTTGGGGTCCTGCATGGCTCGGTTGTTAAGTGTCCAACTCCTGATTTTGGTTCAGGTCATGATCTCAGAGTTGTGAGATTGAGTCCTGCATTGGCTCTGTGTTGAGCATGGAGACTGCTTAAGATTTTCTCTCTTCCTCTCCCTCTGCTGTCCCTCCCCACCCCATCCCACTTGAGTTTGCACATGTGCTCTTGCTCTCTAATAATAATAATAATAATAATCTTTAACAATTTCAGTATAGTTCTTAGCCATATAACCATTAATTTAAATTTTGACTTATACACATGCTTTATTGAATTAACACTAGCTATTATTTCTGTGTTTCATGGCTTTTTGATCTTGAGATTTTATTCTTGCTACAAATTTATTTGGCTAGAATACTTCCTTGAGTATTTTTATTTCCACAAAGTTACCTTGGTAGAGAAAATTGTCCTTTGCTACTTAGTTTTCCCTTCTTTCTGGAGTAATAAGACCTCAAAATTTTAGCTGGACATATGGTTTCCCAAAGGAAATAACTTTTCCAGGTTTGCGAGGATTTTTTTTTTTTTTTTATAGCTAGGTATGGTCATGTGACATTCTGATGAATGGGATATGAACAGAAGTAGTGTGTTCCATTTCCAGACCTTTGCCTTAAAGGAAAGGGGTATTCCTCTACTTCTCATATTCCTTCATGCCGTTCTAAATGGGTATGTGATTAAATGAGCTGGGTGGATCATCTTGGACCACAAGATGTGAGTTTGGCGGTAGCACAAGTTGAAGTGCCCAGTGGCCAGTGATGGCAGGTATGGTCCTGGATGTAGCTCTCTGAGATGCCTTGTACCAATCTCTTTAGCTTGGTGTTTTAGCATACCTAGAGATGTCAGGAATCACCTGACCTAGTTTCAATAGATTAATTTTCTTATGACTTCCAGTTTCTGAAAGTTGCAACTGAGGATATGACAGAGATATTGAAAGGACACGGTTGTAGGCAATAGAACTTCAGGGAAAAGAGGAGGTAATATGGCAGAAGAGGAGGTTAGTCATAAGGTATGATTAAAACTGAAGGTATAAAAAACTCAGTTAGTATTAAGTGATGTGATCTGATAGTCCATGGAACATAGTTTCCAAAGAACTAACTAAATTACCACTGGTGGTTACTATCTGGAATAAAGTGCTTTTTGAAGTATTGGCAACTAAATGGCTATTGACATAGAATACACAGAAATTATAAGGAATTCAAGGACTATGACATGGGATAGCTTTTCTAATGGCCCCAGAAAGTTTAAAGTAAAAGAATGTTCAGATTCCTAAATTTTTTACTTATGTCACAATCTGAAACCTGTGGACTTTCTAGATTTTGCTAAATATCTAATACCACAGCATTGAGATAGCTGGAAAATAAATTCAAAGCCTGACCTCTAAACTTACTGAATTACAGGGCCATTAAACCTATAGTCTTGCTGTTATCTGTCAGGTGTGCAAGAAAGGACACTGATCAAGAAAGACTGGGATCCAGTAATTAGACCTGGAGTATATAAAATGATTTGGAGGGGCGCCTGGGTGCCTCAGTCATTAAGCATTTGCCTTCAGCACAGGTCATGATCCCAGGGTCTTGGAATTGATCCCCACATTGGGCTCCCTGCTTGGCTGGAAGCTTGCTTCTCCCTCTCCCACTCCCCCGGCTTATGTTCCTTCTCTCACTGTGTCTCTCTCTGTCAAATAAATAAAATCTTTGAAATAAGTAAATAAAATAAAATAAAATAAAATGATTTGGAACACCTTCAATTCCCAGTCCCATCAATCTCTCTTACTAGCTGAAATGTGGTTTGTTTTTTTCCAACAGTAAGCAATCTTCAATTCTTAAGGAATTGGTGTTCCATAAATTTAACTCAATTCTGACACTGTCTACCTGGAAAAGCCATCAAATCCCACAGATTAAGGGTGAGTCCCACAAGAATGACCCCAATTTCAGATGCCAGTTGGAAGTCCAGGTTGTTACCTGTGTTTCTGACCAACTGTGATAGATAGGAAGTTCTCACAACCCTCACTTTGGGTTTGATTAATTTACTACAGTGGCTCAAAGAATTCAGAGAAACACTGTACTTACTAAATTACCAGTTATTATAATAGGATAGAACTCAGGAATGGTCAGATGGAAGAGATGCATAGAGCAAGGTTTGTGCGAAGGGTGTTTGAGTTCTCCACTTTTCCCCATTTCCATGTGTTTGTCAACCCAGAAGTTCATCAACTCTTACTGTTCTAGAAGTTCATCAACTCTTACTGTTCCAGAATTTTTGTAGTATTTTATTTGTAGCTGCCCTTGCTTTTCCCTTCCTGGAGGTCATTGGGTGCATCTGAAAGTTCCTATATCCTAGACACTTCATCTTTCTGGTGCCGAGCTCCATCCCAAGGTTATGGGGGGGGCAGCTACCTTAAGTTGTCTCATTAGCATAAACTCAAGTGTGCTCAGAAGGACTTCTAATGCACGATAAAAGACAATCCTATCACTCAGGAAATTCCAAGGGTCTTTGGAACTCTGTGCTGGAAATGCAGGACAAAGATCATATATATTTATTACACCACACTAGCAATGTGGCTACCTCTTACCTATCAGATGAAGCTGTTACTTTAAACTGTGAAGACTTGTCTGAAGGGAGAGCAATGTACTTCAGGCCTATCTCATATACACATTTCCCCAGTTCCTTAACCAGAGGTGATATTCAGCTGGTACCACCAGTGAAGCTGGACTGGTTGTTTGTAACTGGAATCTATTTTGATTAGTTTAGGATCTGCTCTGATTGATTGGTGTCTATGCCTAAATACTAACTAGAGTCAGACCATAGTCTGCAAGTCTACGGTCAGGAAAGCAGAAATCACTGTTTTTCAGGCAGGAAAATATTTAATAAAAGAGATTAGATGTTTATAAAACTTTTGGAAGTGCTGAAGAAGGCAATGGACAAGGAAAGTCATCAGTTATATATGGAAATCAGAAAGTTTCAGGAATCACAGAAAACTAGCACCAATGTTCTCAATAGCTTGTTGCACAAAAACAGATGGTGCTCAATAGAAAGCCTAGAAACCACTGGAAAATCTCACACCTGATGTCACTGAAGACTACATGCCTGCCTGCTAAGATTCAACAATAATGATTTCTTCTGGAACTGATGTAACTGTTCATGCAGGTCACATAGCCAGCTCAGAGTCAAGGCAAGAAGGTATATAGGTCATAAATACTAGCATGGTTCATTAGAGTCCACCAAAATTTCAGTCTACTGCGTTTTCCTTCCTTCCCACAACTGTGATAAATGTGAAGTCATTCCAAGTGGCAAGTAATTTGCTAAAATAAATTGGAGGGATGGATTAATGGGGTCAAAGAGATCAAAGAACTTTGAGGCTTTGGTGTTGGAGAGAGCATCTAGGATGAGAGCAGGTGTTAAGAAGAGAAGATAGGAGTCAAAATCTTCAAGAATGAGGGAAGTAACCTCAAGATGTGAAGATATCAGCAATGATAGTCAAATAGTATCAATTTCAAGGACGGTAGGATTGTTACATAAGGATGAAAAAGAAGAGGTCTAGAGGGGCAGTGGGTGGCTCC